CCCCCCCCCTCTCCCTCTGCTCTGCTCTTGTTTGCTGAAAAGTTTCCTTTCTTTTACCGACAGTATAGGCCTACTTTGCCTGCTATTACATTGTATTACAAATATCCGCATAATCGTGTCTTATTTCATGTGGGGCTTGGGTAGAACGCTAATGGCTTAGTTACCCTTTTCCACCCCCACCCCCTCCTAATCTTTGACCAAAGTCCACGTTTGAGACAGCCAACTTATTTCTCCTTGACAATATGGCCGTCTTAGACAATTTCGACTGCTTTTATATGCATCATATTTATAATAAGTATTGGTGGAAGGGATAATACTGAAAATCCTCAGACACAGTAAAAAAATAAATAAATCAAAAACACAACTTAGTGATGTCATCAACAGCTGCAGCTCAAGGTAGGGACATCACCAACGAAATCTTCTTTTTCTCTGAACCCACGACGATCGACGCACTACTTTGTGAACTCTATATTACTGTCATCAGTCATCCCTGCCCTACGTCATTGATCAAAATAACTAGGCTATAATACGTCTGGTCTGCAGAAAGAGGTGGGGACATTTTCGTTCTACCTCCGTGTGTCATAGGTACAAGAGTGGGGGCATCATGGTGAAATCAGGCGCTCGTCAAAAGTAATGAAATCGAAGAAATAAATGCATTTTTCGTCCAGTTTGGCAACTTTTGTCGGAATTTTGTTTTTTGGCTCTACATCTTTTATGTCCGTGTAAAAATTCATTTTTATGTGAAACTTAGGCTACTGAAAAACGTTAATTAATGACACAAAATATGTAAATTTTCAGTTTTCAGGGACTCGTTGGCTATAGAAGTTATCAAACTTTGGCAGCCATTTTCTCGCAAATTTTACAAAAGAAAACATGTTACCCCGGCCTCCTTCAATTGCAAATATCTCGACTTCTATTCAAGATACATGGGTATTTTTTTACGGAAAGAAAGACAAATAAATGGGCTTTACGGTTATACCAATAACTCCATATTTTGCCACCAAATTGACGAGCGTCTCATTCCACGGCGTCGTGAAGATGTACTGTATCCGCGGCACACCGCACGTCAAAATAAATCCTGCTCTTTTGACCTACGGTCACGAGAACATTATGACGTATGCAGATCTGACACAAACAAAACAAAGGTTACAAGCTGCGATTGTTGATATTTTACGCTGTCAGCTTCAACGCTATTCAGTTTATTTTAGGAGACAGGCTAGGCTACATGTACAATATACAATGTAATTTCACCCTTCTACCCTACTAATCCGGGCTGAATGGGAAACAGCATCATTATAACGAAGCAGACAGGCAGATGGAGATTCTATAAAATAACACCCCGATGCCGGAATAGAACTTTTCAAAGTGCAACATCGTTATTTAAGAGCCCACTCCACCTTTGCATAGATACTTGCGGAGACCACAACACAAGAGTGCATAGTTTACCCCTCCTCCCCCCCCCCCCCCCCCCCCCCCGTCATTGATACACCCCTGCCATAGTCAACCTACCTGTTTCCAAACCACAAGTGTTCTATGTTTACAGCCCCCCAACAAAAACAACAACAACAACAACAACAAAACAGCAAAAAACAACAACAACCAAACAAACAAACAAAAACAAAGAAAATCTACAACAAAAAAACAATAGCACCCGCCCAAAAAAACCAAGAAACCCCCAAAACAAACAAAAAACAAAATAAAAAACAAAAACAGAAAACAAACCCCCCTCTCCCAAAACCATGATCTCGAGTACCCCTCCCCCTAGTCCTCTTTCTGGAGAACCTATGCACTGCTTAATTTGTTGTCTCATATTGCACAATAGCCTAATCTTTTATTTTTATAACTGATCTTCGATTGATAATCTTACCCGCAAAGCCCTATACTAACATGTTAATCGTAGCGTGTACAAAGAAAACGACTTAACATTTTGTTAATTTTCATGGCCGTGAGTCGTCTCACTTTCGATTTGTGTTGGAAGCAGGTATTAATATACATTTATTGTCAGCTTCTGTTTTTAGTAGGCCTATAGATAGCCTATTCCTGCTTCATGTTGAGGAAGTAAAACAAAGTGCGTGGTGTTGGCTATGTAGGCTACAGCCTCCCCCCCCCCCCCCC